GTGAGTCTTGGCCGCTTGTTGCTCGGGAAGTGGGGGGGGGGAGGTTTTGCAGGGGGAAGGGAGGCATGGAGATGTCGGGGAGCACTCAGCGGGCACGGGGGAGGGCGCTAGGACTGGGGAAGCAGCTGAGCTTTCACCAGAACGTTGCTTCTGTTGGGGGGACCCCGAGTTCATTCGGGGGGAACGCCCTGGGCGGGGACGGGGGGCAGGGAGAGAGGTAGGGGAAAGGGCCACAGAAGAGGTATGAAAAGTAGTAGCTGGGTGGGGGTGCGGGAGGGGTGTGGCTTCTGGGGAAGCCAGGAGGGAAGAAGTTCGTTGGAGGGAGGGTGTGCACAGCAGGGGGCAGTATTTGGAGGGTCTTGGAGGGGGGCGGAGTTGATGTTGGAGATGCCGGGTGTAGGGGAGGTTGGAATAGCAAGACCTGGAAACTTGGGAGTGCGGAGAAGGTGGGCAGGGCTCTGCCGTGACTGAGTCACAGTTTTCACAGAGGATAGGGGCAGTGGGGTCCGCAAGGAAAGGAGTTACTTTATGTGACTAGCCCAGGTAAGGCGAGGGAGCCCAGTGGTGAATCCCCAGAGCATCTGTGAAGCGCCAGTCCACTTCTTTCTAGGAAGGGAGGATCCCACTGCACCAGCCGAGTCCAGCCCCAGGGGCCGCGCCCCACCCTCACCCCCCCCCCTTTTCTTCCAAGACCTTGTTCTAGCTTGGTCTTTCCCCTTGTCTTTGCACAGTAGTCAGTTTAGGTGTAAGCTCACTTAGAGTCAGACAGATGGACCACATAGCTCTGACCTCCAAGTGCTTCTTTGGAGATGGAAATATCCTCATTAGGAGCGTCTCACTTTCGATGTAAAAATACATAAATAAAAACACCAAACTACTTTAGATAATTTCTACCTATCTCAGTTCGCAAGCCCTTCCCCTTATAATTCCACCTCAGAAATGAAAACTTTTTGGAAAATGGCTAGCATAAACCGATTTGAATGTGAGCAAGTGTATGTACAAATGGTATAATGGAAACATTTGGATCTTTGGTGGAGAACCTGGGTTCGAATTCCAGCCAAGCTACTTATTATGTGTCGGGCAAGCCACTTAACCTCGTGAAATGTGTATTAGTTAGGGTGAAGGACTGGATCTGTGATTTCATTGGTGTAGGTAGCTCCTGGGGGGGGTCACTTCCTCTACTCAAGAAGGCCAACACCTGCTACTTGTAGTCTTAGAAGTTGCCTAGAGCACTGTGAAGTTAAGTACTTTCCCAGCCAACATGCGTCAAGACGTGAAGCAGGACTTGAAAACAGGTCTGTCTTCCTGGCTCCAAATCTGTCTACAAAGACTTTGCAAATGTCTATACAGCCAGTTTTTAATATGCACATGCGGATTATCTGTACCTTAGTTTTGATCCTGACTCATCCAGTGGGTAACATTCTTTGGGATTTCCTTTCTCCACATCCCAATCATTGTGTTTCCAGGGAATACACACTAATTTTAAAAATCAGCTTAAACGCACCGTAATTAGGATGTTAAAGCTAAGGAACAGTCCTATACGCACAGCATTCCAAATCAGTCAAATAAAAACTAATTATCTGCTTTTTGGATTTTTCTTGACACTACTCCAACATGGTTGATTGGGATTATAGATTTAGAGAAGATAACCAAAAGCTGACTGTATATTCAAATGGATTGTCCTTATCAGGCAATAGTGCATTGTTCATAGCCTGTATTCCACCACTAACCAACTGTATCTTGGGTTACTGACACTGAGAGCAATCCTGGGCGCTGGTCTGGTCAGGGTGGGGCATGGACTGAGGAATGAAAGACTGGGAATTGTATATATATCTAAATCCTCTGGATTGCCTGTTATTTGTTTTAGCCACACTCCTTCCCTCCATAATTCGAATAATCAGAAGTGTTCTCTTCCCTCTCTCCCTTTTTTCTTGGCCCTTTCCCTTGCCTTCTCCGTCTTCTCTCTGTGCCTCTTGTTTCTTTATGTGTGTTTGTCTCTCTCTCTCTGTCTTTATCTTATCATCTCTCTTCCTTTCCCTCCCTCTCTCACCTTAGCACAGGATTTGACATCAGAGGAAACCTTGTCACTACCTGTGATATTGACTGGGTCATTTAATCTCTCTGGACTTCACTTGCCTTAGGAATAAAATGTAGGGGCTATATTAGATGGTTTCTATACCTACAGATTAAAACTGAACTTAGACTTTTAGGTCATAATGTATCAGGATAATCATGTAATAAGTATGATTCTTTGGCCTAATATCTACCATATACAACTGCAGGGCTTCTAGCTAGTCCTTGGGTGTGGACTCTGCTGTGAGTTAGAATCATAGAGCCTTCAGATTACAGAGGAGGAAACTGAGACCCAGAGAAATAAAGTAATGTGCCCATAGTCACACAGGTAGTCAGTTGTAGAACCAGGATTTGAACTTGGATCCTCTGACTTTTTTCACTCCACCACATTGGTATTTTTACATGTCTTCCTACCACAAGTCTGCTCTTCAGCCATTTGACATGTTTGCCGTACCAGTAATCTCCCTTGGATGATTTCTAGGTTATAGTAGGGGTGGGTGTGCAAAGATCCATTCACGTGAAACAGTGAATGTTTTCCCAATGTCTGACAGGTATTAAGACTTAAAGCTGGTTGTCAAAATCAGGAACATGTTGTCATATGTTGAGCAATATAATGTATTAAGGGGAAGGAGGGAAATTCTAGCAATGTTTTTTTTTCCCATGGAGGTGTGTCCCTGAAATTATTATTTTATTGAAATAAAGGGAAAATATGATTTGCTTTACAAAAAGATGTTTCATAGATTTTGAGGAGGCATTTTGTTTTGTTAAGCAAACTATACTGTGTACGGTAGTCAGAACCATATGCCAAATCTAGGATCTACTGCCCTAAAATGCCTATTTACGTGGCCTTTTCTCATTAATTTAATGCAAGAAACATTTAAGCACCTATTGTATTTGGAACACTTACCTAGGCACTAGAGAAGAAACTTAAGAGAAAGATCATGAGGAAAAGGGAAAATAGTGTTAATTTGGAGTCAGAAGACCTGGGTTTGAATCTTGGCTTTGCTTCTTTACCAGGGGTGGGCCTCTGGGTCCTCAAGTGCGGCCTGAAGATTCAAAGGTTCCCCACCCCTGTTCTTTACTATCTGCATGGTCTTAGGCGAGTCAGTTCTTCATTTCCCTGAATCATGGTTTCTTCATTGATAAAATGAGGGAGAGAAGCAGAATGATACAGTGGAAGGAACACTGGCTCTGGAATCAAGGACCTGGGTTCAAATTATGCATCTGACACTACCTTCATGGCCTTGTATAAGTCTCTTAAACTTCCCTGGGCCTCAGCCGCCCAATCTGTGAAGACTCAGACTAGATTCTCTCCAAGGGCCCCTTCCAGCTCTAATTCTGTGATGACTTAGATCTTAGAAAGTCTGAGAATCTCTCCAGTCCCAGTACTTGGCCTTATGGAGCCTCCGAGGGGGGATAGGATCCATATGCCTATAACCACGATACAAAACAATAACGGAATCGACATCAATACATCCAGGATCTGTGATTTCATCAGTGTCATTTTGATGTTGTTTATTGTTTGTTCGGTCGTTCCAGTCATGTCCAACTCTGTGTGACCCTGTTTGGGGTTCTCTTGACAAAAATATTAGAGTGGTTTGGTATTCCTTCACCAGTTCATTTTACAGATGAGGAAACTGAGGCAAACAGGGTTAAGTGACTTGCCCAGGGTCACACAACTGTTAAGTGTCTGAGGTCAGATTTGAACTTTGAAAGATGGATGAGTCTTTCTGACTCCAGGCCTGGTGCTCTGTCTACTGTGCTGCCCTCTTGGTGTGGATTGTAGCCTCCTAACTCTTAAGGAGCTGCCTGAAGTTTAGAAAAGTTAAATGACTTGACCATAATTACTGAACCATTCTCTCTTCTATCTATCTAGTCCCACATCCAGTTGTAGAATAATAGCATGACAGCTGAAACCAAACTTTGTTAAGTATCAGAAGCAGGATTTGAACCCAGGCCTTTTGAATTCCATGGCCAGGACACAATATTCCATTTCCTCTCTATATTATATGTATTACAGAACAATACAAAATGTAAGGACTGGGGGGGAAACTGCTTAAGCTCAAGAGGGCAAACCTACATGAGGTACAGTTATATAGTAACGTGACATTTTAAACAAACACATCAAAGCTTGAATATACACATTCAGCATTATTCTCTTTCATGGTAGTCCCCTCAGGAGACTGTGCACTTACTCTAGCGATGCTGCCATTGCCAAAAAATATTTTTTTGAATTCTTCTTTTGGAATTGCTTTGGGAACCGTGGAGAATATTATTTTGGTTATATGTCTTCTTTTAAGCTATGAGTTGGATTAAAAAAAAATAGTCAAGAGTCCTTTGGAGCCAACACTAGCAAATAAGGTGAGTAACCAAACTGGTTTATAAACTCAGTGTTACCATAGAATAATGAGAATAATTTTCTCGTGTAGCTCGGGAACCAGATGTGAAAGTAATTTCAAAAGAGGATTTCCCCTAAGGCTTTGAGCAAATAGCAGCAGCATCATTGGAGTAAGCGTTTGGTTTGATCAATCAATGGATAATGTTTATTAAGTGCCTACTATGTGCCAGGCACTATGTTAAGTGCTGGAGACACAAACAGAGGCAAAAGACAGTCCATGCCCTCAAGGAGCTTACATTCTAATGGGAGAGACAACATGCAAACAAATATAGACAAAGCAAGCTACATACAGGATAAATAGGAAATATAGTTTGCTAAGGTGACTGATGACTTTGAAAGACAGCATCTGATTGGATGTGTAATTAACTGTTGCTTGGTGAGAAGCAGCATGCCACGGTAGATAGAAGGCTGACCTCAGAGTCAGGAAGACCTTGGTTCAAGTCTTTCCTCTTAAACGTACTACATAAGCTTATGACCCTCCACAAGTTACTTCACTTCTCATGCAAATTACGGATAAATTACCAGCCTG